CTCCGTTTCCCAGATTGATTCACCTACATAGAGATTAAGGATTGATTAGCCCCTACTGAATTTCTTCCAAACTTTGGGGCTAATTTTTTTTGTTTTGTTTTACATTTCATAATATTTATTTGTGTATAACAGACACATGCAGGTCAGAAGACAACTTTTTAAAAGATTTTTTATCTTTTTCTTTCCTTATTTATTTGTTTGTTTGTTTGAGGCAAGATCTATGTATCCCTGGCTAGCTTTGACTTCACTATGTAGACCAGGTTGGCCTCAGACTCACAAAGATCCACCTGCCTATGCCTCCCAAGTACTAAGATTAAAGATGCGCACTGCACTGCTGTGTGGAGGCATATACCTTTAATCCCAGCATTTGGGAGGTAGAGGTAAGTGGATCTCTGATTTCAAGGCCAGCCTGGTCTACAGAGTGAGTCCCAGCACAGCCAGGGATACACAGAGAAATCCTGGAAAGAAAAAAAAAAAAAAGAAAGGAAGATGCACACTACCATGCCTGGCCTGTAGGACAACTTCAGGTCATCAGGCAAATGCTCTTATCTGCTAACCCATCTTTCTAGCCCAGTTTGGGGTTATTTTAGAATCTAAATATCTTAGATATTTCACTTACAACTAAGCCTTTGTTGGTGATGAGAATACAGAGCTTCTCAGTAGTCACCTGCAGTGTGGCAAGCACTGCATTTGAGTTGGTTTCTCCTAAATCACATTATAGATTGACTTAGAGTATGTTCATGCATGCATCTACCTGTGTGTGTGTGTACATACACACAAGTTCCATAGAGTCATATGGAGACCAGAGGACAACTAGTTGGAGTAGGTTCTCTACATACCATATGGGTAAGGTATGACCTGGCAAAGGAACTCAGGTCAATGACAGTCTTGATGTCAGATGCCATTACCTACCTAGCTGCCCAGCTGTGTTTTATTTCAGTTAGACTCACTTCTTTATTGTTTCAGAGAATGTACAGTCAATGAACCCAACAGTTTCCTGATTCATATCTGTGTACAGAAGCTCATTCCAAATGCACTACATATTAAAACCACCTTTGTGGAAATCCTCTTTGTACACAGGATCATCACTCACCTTTTCTCTAATAGATACACTGTACATTATAATAACAGAATGACAGGTAATAATCACAGGGCAGTGAAGTAGAAGGTGTTAGAAACCCAGTGGCTGAATTCACGTCTGCAAAGGTCTTTGTGGCTCTGTAGAAGAAGCAGTGGCTTTAAGGCAGCTTTTGCTTGTGTGCTGTCTAAACTGCTTCAGAGTTCTGCAACCCAGGCTGAGCAGTCATGCTCCACTGACTTCTCTCATCAAGTTACCATTGCCAAATTCTGTAGCAGATAGGCAATGCAAAGAAAACATTTAAAAGCTTTAGGCCTTGTCTGAGCTTCACAAGGAAGGAAAGAACAAATCCAGGAATTGTTACTTCAGGGACCAATTTGTAGAGAGGAACATACCTTTGAGGTTTGCCAACTTTTTGAAGAACAAAACTCCAGTCTTTCAGAAAACCCCCAACAATGGAAAGAATGAAAGTATTTTCATAGTGAAATTTGAATACTCAGGGGTTCATGCTACACAGGAATTCAGTGAGTGTCTGTGACATCATCATGATATCAAGATGGAGTATAAAGTCATCCAGTGTATGACCTGGTCTAGGTTAGAGTTTGTTCCTTGGTGAGAGGGAAAACCTCCCACTCAAGATATGCCTGTGCACTGCATTTCCAGTCTATATGAGGAAAACTGATGTACAAAAGATAGCCAGTAAGCATGCTTAGAGTCCTATGTGAGACAAAGAGAACAATAGTAATGATCTTAAAACAGCAAAATTAAACAAAAGCAAGTGTATTTTTTAAAGTAGGGATTCTTAAACTGTTTCTAGACGCAGCCTTGTTTTCAATGAGAATTTTCTTCTTGAGTTTGTGTGTATGCATTTGTGTGTACAAACATGAGCACATGTGTGCAACAGCGTGTATGTGAAAGTCAGATGACAGCCTTGCATGTTGGTCCTCACCTCCCACCTCATGTAAGACAAAGTATCTTTGTTGGTTTTCTACTGCATAGCTGGGCTGGGTAGCCAACAATATTTTGGCCATTCTTCTGTCTTTGCATCTCCCACTCCCCCATACTCACACCCCTAGGAACACTGGGATGGCTAAATGCTCTAATGTAGAAATGTTTCTACTCTGGGGATATGTAGCAAGTACTGAAATCACTGAAAAAAATCTTCACCAACATGTCTCTTTCCTTCTCTCTTTTTCTTCCTCATAGACAGTCTTGAAGATATGAAGTAGTGTTCCATTTTGATTTGTATTTCTTCAAAGTTTTTTTGTTTGTTTGTTTGTTTTTCGAGACAGGGTTTCTCTGTGTAGCTTTGGCACCTATCCTGGCACTCGCTATGGAGACCAGGCTGGCCTCGAACTTACAGAGATCCGCCTGCCTCTGCCTCCTGAGTGCTGGGATTAAAGGCGTGCGCCACCAATGCCCGGCTCTAGTGATATATTTTTATATTTTGTTTTTCTAGAAAGGGTTTCTCTGTGTAACATCAGTCCTGACTGTCCTGGAACTTGCTTTGTAGACCAGGCTGTTCTTGAACTCACAAAGATTCGCTTGCCTCTGCCTCCCAAGTACTGGGATTAAAAGTGTGTGTCACCACAACAAACTGATTAGTGATATTTTTAATGTTGATTCTTTCATTTTTATTTTATTGAAACTTTATTATGCTGGGTGGTGGTGACTCACACCTTTAATCCCTGTACTTGGCAGGGCAGTGGTAGGTGGATCTCTGTGAGTTTGAGGCTACCCTGATCTACAGAATGAGTTCCAGGTCAGCCAAGGCTACACAGAGGAAACTCTGTCTCGAAAAACAAAAATTAAAAAAAAAAAACTTTATTACAAAGAACCTGCAAATAAAAGATATCATGCAGTGAAGTTAACCAGAACCAAAGTCTACACATCTCAGTGAATATACAGTGAGAGTATCCATTCTGAAGCTGAAGAGTTTCACATTGCCTTGTATGGCCTGAGTTATCCCTGGAACCCACATGGTAGGAAAACTGACTCACACACATCATCCTCTGACCTCCACATGTGTGCCTTGTCACACACATCTCCTGGCATCCCCAATGAATAAGTAAGTAAGTAAATAATAAAAAATTCAAATAGAGAAGTGTATCATTAGAGACTCATAAATGAGATATGATGGGCTGGTGTTGCGTTAGGGATAGAATCACAAGGTGACTATTGCATTTGAGATAGTGTTTAAAACTACATCGAGGGGCTGCAGAGATGGCTCAGTGGTTCAGAGCACGTACTGTCATAGGACCCAAGTTTAATTCCTAGCATTTATATTAGGTGACTTACACCTGCTTGTAACAGCAGCTCCAACAGGATTGAAAACCTTTGGTCTCTGTGGGCACCTGCAGTCATATGTATGTGTACACACACACACACACACACACACACACACACACACACACACACACACAAAATGAAATTTTAAAAACTATACTAAGGATGTGATTTCAGCATTATTAGTTCCTTTGCAGTTTAGACCATGACCTAGACACTAACTTTCTGCCCTGAGTATAAAATGTACATTGGAACTAGGGGAAGCTCTTCTTTGCCTGACAGTTTCATAAATTTAGGATACAACATTACCAGTTTAGACTCCATTTGCTGGAAATGTAGTCTGTCCCATTCTGTATCCTGGCTCATTTGCTGTATTTTTTATTTTCCTTATGTAAAATGACAATGGCACTGCCATAAACTTCCTGGGCAGATTAACCATTTCATAATTTTAAAGGCCTCTCTTCTGTACCACACCTTGCCAGAGGTTCTCAGCTGGCCTTGTAGTGTGTTAAAAGTTGATTTCTGTGGTAGTTTTCCATGAGAATAATATTTAATCTGGCTTTTCATCACAGCACTGTTAATATTAGAAAGGCTGATTTTATCCTAAATGGTAGCATACTCTGTTAAAGACAGTAGACAGTCTCCCCTGAGGGGAGCTCGTCTGTGAGAAGGGAAATGGACTAAATGGCTCTCGAAATGTTTTCTTGTTCAGTTCAGTGATCCATATCCTTCTTTTAGATGGCCATCAAATGAAAACTGGAATTTGGATTTCTAATGTCCCCTTACTGCTTGCTACCTTCAGTTTAGTGTCCATTGCCACAAAAATGAACATGTTTTACATTTGTCATTTTCCTGTTAGGGAATTAGTAGTTTCTGGAGTCTGAAGGCTGCCCTTGGTGGTGACGATTACTGGATAATTGCCTATTCTCCTATGGAATTTCCATTTTTAGATTACACTGGCCTCTACAGCCTTTGTTTCTTTGGCAGGAAAACCCAAAGGCAACAGAGTACATTTTTTCCTCCTATCCCTGGCCCAGTTTAAACAATGACTCACATGGGCCCTGGGGCTTTGCTTCACATTTCCATTTAGGGGCCACTTTTACCCTTGTTCTAATTTGTCTCTTGTGTTCCTTTGGAATCCTTTCTATCCTTTGACACATAGGATGTGCTTCTGTGGTTATTGTTGGGGTACACACAGTACAGTACAGTACAGTACAGTACTACCCATAAAATACAGATAACCCAGGTCTGTCCTCAGCCATGTCATCCTTGTAGCAGCCAGTATAGATAGTTGGGCTAGTACTGAAGGATGTCTTTAGGGAAGTGAGGTCTGCTCAAGGCATTTGCAATGCCAGGTGGAGTGAAGGAGAATTATTCCTCTGGAATACAGGTAAAGACAAAGATGCTCTATTAACCTTAAAACTTCCTGGGAGGTACATGGCAGAGGTGGACATGACCTTCCAGAGGGGCATAATTGTAGGAAGGTTTCTTTTTAGAAGGACTTGAGAATTTTGCTAGTGGAAAAAACATACCCACTCCCTTATTCATCAGTGGTTCTCTCTGGTTTTACTTTTCACTCTGGTTCCAGCCTTCTGAGTTTCATCTAGTGATGAATTCTTCATTTTTCTCTTTCCAGTTTTAACAGTGTATGCCAAGGAACTCACATTCTCTTTCGGGAATTCAGCTTTATACAAGCCACACCTCACAATAGGGCATCATTTTTACGGGCCTTCTGGAGATGCTTCCGAACTGTAGGCAAGAACGGTGGTAAGTCTAATTAACTTTGTTTTCCCCCATTTCCCACCCTCCCTTTTTCTATCCTTTCCAAACATTTTCCATTTAACAGTTCCTAAAAAATACCATTTATAGCTAGGTAGTGGTGGCTCATGCCTTTAATCTTAGCACTTGGGAGGCAGAGGCAGGTCAATCTCTGTGAGTTTAAGGCCAGCCTGGTCTACAGAGTAAGTTCCAGGACAGCCAGGACTGTTTCACAGAGAGACCTGTCTCAAAACAACCCCCAGAAAAAACACAAACAAACAAAATTATGTATTGTATTTATGTGTGTATGTAAGTTGCAAAATTGACATATTTAAGGTCTTTGGAATGCACATTTGGAGGTCACAGGGCAACTCTGAGTTGTTTCTCTCCTACCTTGTGGGTTCTGGGGATTGAACTCAGGTCATCAGGCTTGTTAGCACGTGCCTTTTTACCTACTGATCCATCTTGCCAGCCCACATCTGTTTTTATTATGGTCCTATAAATATGGCTTGACTGTAGGCTTTGGAATACCTTATTTTGAGATGACTATGCTGAGTCAGAAATATTATTAGCCATCATCACAATGACACCCATTAAGAACCAAGTATAGCTTTGAACACATGAGGTATAATAACTTCCTTAGCCTTCACAGCTGCTATCCCTGTTGGCTGCTATAATCTCCATCTTACAAATAATGAAACAGGATCAGAGAACTAAGTCATTTGGAAGGTTATGTAGTAAATGACAGGCCCAGATTAATACTACCCTTGCAACCTGACTCCAAAGCTCTTGCTCTTGGCAAATATTAGAAGCTGTGTAATAAATAAAAGGAATAAAGTAAAACAGAGAGACTGCATTTTACAATTTTGTGTTCTTTACAGTTTCAAATTTGTGGCAGGTTCCTATCATACAAAGATATAGGCACCATATCTACAACAGTAGTGTGTTCTCTCTCTCTCTCTCTCTCTCTCTCTCTCTCTCTCTCTCTCTCTCTCTTCTCTTTCTCTCTGGTGACTCCCTCAATATGTCTAACTCATTATTTTGTAGTGATTCTGCTCAGTGATCTTTGCTCTTACTGTGGTTTTTGTTTGGGGGCAAGACTGATGTCTATATAAGACACTAAACTTCACACTTAAGTGTTGCATATCCCATCTCTCTCCTTCTCCTTGGGCACCTCTCTTCTTCAAGACAGAATATTGAAATTAGGAGATTACTAACCTATAGTGGTTTCTAAGTGTGCAAGGGGAAAAAATTGAGTTGCATCACTTGAAATCAGAACCTAGAAATGCTTAATTTTAGGGAGGAAGGCATGTCAAAACCTGAGGAATCCAAAAGGAAGGCTTCTTCTATCAACCAGCCGATTGGGGGTATAAAGGAAACATCTTGAAGGAAATGTTCTTGGGATGCTCTTCAAATGATGGGAAAGAAAAACTGTTGAACTGGGCATGGTGGCACATACCTGTAATTCTAGTACTTAGGAGGTTGAGGTAGAAAGATCTGAGTTCAAGGGTATCCTGTGCTGTATAGCAAGACATCAAAACACATACGGGGGAAGAGGAGGCTGAGAATTAACTCAGTGGTTAAGAGCACTTGCTGCTCTTGCAGAAGTACAAGCACCCACATGGCATCTCACCATGTTAGAGTAAGTGGGTGGACACAGTATTCAGCTGATTTCTTTATGTATGGCCACGGAAACCTTTAAAAAAATGATCCAGTACCATATTAGATCATTTCAACCATCCTAACAAACAGATAATGGAGGCATTATTTTGCCCACTTTGTAACTAATAAAATTGCTTAACTTGGGTGACTCCCTGTTAGAGAAGTTCACACCCATGCTCTCAGATGTGTCTTTCTTCCTGAGTACCTCTCTTTCTCTCTTATGTTTCATGCTTAAGTCTATATTAAATTAAAATCATTAATAAAAATCTGGACTCTGAGGAAGAAAGAGAATTAAATAAATAAATGGAAATTGTTTAACTTGGAAGAGGGTTGCACAGCTAGCTCCTTGTCAAGCTGCAGTCGACTTAGATTTGCTGATGTGCTCATTCTATGCTTTTTCTACGGGTTCTACTTTGATTGCTGCTTCATTGACATGTAACCCTAAAGGTCGCTCATATCTATTTTCCCGTCACACAAGAAGTATCTCGCATATGAGCAATAGCATCCTTCCCTTTACAGAATGAAAGATGGACTCAACCTTAAGCGAACTAGCCCACTGGTCTCTATGTAAACACCTACACACTGTGTATAAGTGAAGTCTATACTACTGCAGACTCTGATCTTTGCCAATCCTTTCTTATCCCTTGGTCAGTCATCAGAGACTCATTGACGATCTGGTATGCTGAAGAATGTTGGATGGTTTTGGTGATATGGCATATGGAAAACAACCCAAATACCCTTATTTTTTCCTGACTTAGAAGTAGGGCCTCTTCAGGAAGTCACAAGGGATTCATATAGCATTTGAACTCTAAGCAGATGTGGATTTCTTTATCTTTCTAATCACAGCTGCCAGTGATGGATCCAGCTGCTGAGGAAAGCAAATCCCAAATTCTCTCTGATGCTCTTGGGCCATAAACAAGACTTAGATTTCAGACTGGACACTCATTTCTAGGTTTCTCAGTTATGTAGCTTCTGATTTCTTAAAGACCAACTGCAAAGTTTGTGTCTAGATGAGCCTAAAATCTTTCCTGAAACACTTGTAATACCGTCTCTGCTTCTTCCAGGAAACTTTGGAACACCTTCCAGAGTGTGTCAGTTCCTGGTTTTAATCCGGAATGAGCAAAAGCTCTTGGAGGCAGAGCTTGGAAGGAAAAGATTTATTAACCCCTACCCCAATTCAGCCGAGCTGCACTATGCTGTTCTTCTGCAGATAATTCCCTTAAAGCATCCTATTCATATTTTAGCATTAACAGGAAGAGGCTAAACCTTCTGGGAGGTATCAAAGGAGGCTGGAGTTCCAGTGCAGCAGTTCTAAAACGAAGCCACCTGTAGAAACTGAGGGAGTGGACCCCTCCGGCCAGAAACATTTTCTTCCAGTTTTTAGCATGTACAGAGATTCAATGTCATTTCTGCACGACTGAGTTCTGAATGATGCTAATTTCCCTGTGTCTGAGTTTCAGATAATCTCATGAACACTACAGTAAGCCTCTTGCTATCTGGACAACTTTAGACTTTTGGAAGCAGAAAGATCTATTCAAATGTAAAAGACCTTTAAAATTCATCTCCTTGCTTTGCTATTTCTTTCAGTGTGGAGAGATTAATCTGAATTTTCTGAGCCTAGAAAAGACTGAAATTCGTTTGAAGTTAATCTTTGCTTCTGTTTGGGAGTATCAGCCCCAAAGAGCTTTTGTTCAGTTTCTTTCAATAAGAATATAGCTAAAGGCTTTGTTCTTTATGAACAGAAATACATATTTGACATATATTTTCAGTTGATAAAATAATGGTAGGTACTTCTACTGTGAAGAAGTGTCTACCAAGAGAATTGTCATCATGACACAATTAATATCTGAAACAACTATTGTCATACACTGTTTACCAGACAGTGGTGACTGTGAGACCCAAGAAGCAATTGACAAGGACAGCCTGGAACTCATAGAAATCTTCAAAGGCACGCACCATCACCACCCGTCATTTCCTTTCCTCTTCTTTCTTTCTCTTTTATTGTATCATTTATTTACTTACTCGTTTATTTATTTTGAGATAGGATCCTAGTAACCTTTGTTGTTGGTTTTAAGATGGGGCCTCAAGTATCCTAGGCTAGCTTCAAAGTTCCTATGTAGCCAAAGATGACCATGAACTCTAATCCTCCTGCCTCTACCTCCCAAGTGCTGGGAATGCAGGCTTCCCATCAGAGAATAGGTAACAGTGTAGGGAGAGAGATGTGCAAATAACACGACAGTTTTCTGGAGTTTCAGAGGTGCAGATTGTGGTTGAGGGAGGCCGAGGTGGCCAGACTTGGCAGACTAAAATAGCACTGACAAAGGTTGTTCAGGGATATGAGAATCTCTAGCTACAAATTTTGCACATTTTACTAGTTTAAAGGCAGTGGTGGTGCACGCCTTTAGTCCCAGCACTCGGGAGGCAAAGGCAGGCTGATCACTGTGAGTTTGAGACCAGCCTGGTCCACAAGAGTTAGTTCCAGGACAGCCTCCAAAGCCACAGAGAATACCTGTCTCAAAACACCCAAAGGGGGAAAAAAAAGAGAGAGAGACACCAGAAACAGCAGGTCAGACATTCCAGTCAGATGGAAAGACCTCAAAATATGTCTGGTGTTTACTGGGTAAGAATCTCAGCAGTTTAAAAGCAGAGTACTAACGGGTGGAGTGTAGCTCAGTGGTTTAGTACATGCCTAGCATGCACAAGGCCCTGGGTTCAATTCCATCTCTGAAAACCAAAAAGCATCAAAGCATTGATCTGACCTCTAAGTAACTTAACTGTATACATACCATGTAATGGCTGGACTTAATGACCTTCGGCTTTACCATGGTGTGAAAGTGGTATGCTATCAGTAGATGCTATTTTGAGGGGCTGCTTGAGAGGTGGCTCGGTGGTTAAGAGCACTGTGAGTGTCACTCTTCAAGAGGATCTGAGTCCAATTATTAGCACCCATGTTAGGCAGCTCATTGCTGCCTGTAACTCTGGCCCCATTGCAGTCCCAACACTTCTGGCTCCAAGGGCACCTTGCACGCATATACACATACCACCCCACACACATATACACATAAAAATAAGAACATACCTTTTAAAAATGGCTGAGACTAGTGTTAACCTACTTTTAATCTCTTTTCTTTAAGTTAGGGTCACTATTCAACCTGGGTTTTATTGGCTGCTTTTTGAGAAAGGGTCTCTTGTAGTTCATCTGACGTTGAACTCAGTGGATAGCCAAGGATGACTTAGACTTTATGATCCTTCTATCTCTGGCTCCTCAGTGATGGGATCCCAGGCATGCACCACCAAGCATGTTTTAAGCAGCGCTGAGGATCAAACCCAGTGACTTGTGCCTGCCA